TCCTGTTTGAGGATCAGGATTTCGCTGTCCCTCTGCTGAAGCTGCTCTTCCAGACGGTTCATCTCAAGGTCAAAGATGCTGGTCTTTTCCTGATCTGAACAAGCCTGATCCCCTTTTTCGTTAGTGGTGCTCCTCATTTGCACTTTGCGTGACACTGACTCATCAGTGAGTTCTCCAGCTTGGATCTCATATTGGTCCAGCTTGGCACGCATCAGTGAAATTTGGGCCATCAGCTGTTTGATTAGCTGTCTAGCTTCCTTTGTATCCTCTTTTAAAAGCTGATTTTCAGACAGAGTGTTTTGGAAGGCTTTCTTAACCTTAATAAGGTCATCGAGTGTACTTTTTGGCAGAGTGCACATAAATTGTGGTTTTCCTTTCTGGTTGCTCATTTTTGACATTTAAAACAAAGCTGTCTTACAATAAATCAGATATTCAGATTTGACTGAGGGTAGCAGAACAAAAGTTCATCTAGTGAATCGCTCGTGACTGTAGGTAAGAAACGTGCTTGTCTAGTGTGCAGTTTCAGCTGGCTGTTTAAGGACTTGAGTTGACTGTGACGTCATGGCCTGATTCTCTTGCCTTTCATGTTTGAAACAGGCCCCGCCCACAATAACGTTCCCTATTGGTTAATTGACAATAGGTCCCGCCCATAAAGAACAGGCTGTCAGATTTTCTGACGTCATGGCCCCATTCTCTTGGCTTTCATGTTTGAAACAGGCCCCGCCTTCCACAACGTTCCATATTGGCTCAGTTTTACAATTAAATTCATATTTAGGAATAATAAAATAGAAATTATTTAAAAATATATTCATTTAAATTTATTATGATTCATCCCTCTTCATTTACCCAAAAACCATTTTCACCACTTACTCAAAAGCCCTTCTCTGTGGTAGAAAACCTTTATTTTCCACGCTCTCTTCACTTCCATCCGCCTCTATCACGTCTTTTTGCCCACTCCGAGATTATTGCCTGTGCCCCTGTTTCTTACTCATAATAAGGTAGGAAGGAGAGTATTTCAAACCAGCAGGTGACCTGATCTATTAATGTTTTTGACACACAGTTTACTTCTAACTGCGCGATTTTTGACAATGAAAAAACTATATCTTCATTTTCTTTGTTATACATTGAAATAAGCTGAACTCTCTTGTGTTTAGAAAAGAATGCAAATTTTTAAATCAACCTTAAAACCAACCACACCGATAAAAGCTATTTGCTGTTTTAATAACGTTTAATTGTCACTGTATGAGCTTATCTTGTGTTACATTCTTAAGAGAGAGACCTGCAGCTGCCTCCTTCCTTTGGCTCCTTGTTTGTCTTTATCTGAGCATCACTTTTGCCTCCACTATGAAGCCCCTCGTAGCAACATTTAACTTTCAAGGCAGATAAAAAA